TTTATGGGACAGAAGGGACGGCAGGTGTCCAGATAATTCGTGGGGTGGAAGCTGGATGTTCTCCTGGCTGCTGCTGAGGCAGAGCCTAGGGAAGGGTCTGAGGACGTACGGTGCGGGGGAGGGACGCGACCCTTTCCTGGGTCTGCAGGGCAGCCCGGGCCCCAAGTGGCTGAGGCTCCCCATCGCCCAAGATCGCCAAATCCGGGGCCTTCTCCCTGAGCCTGTCCTTTCTCCTCCTGCAGTTCAGGCGCTGCTCCTGTGGGCGGGGTGCCTGGGGAGGCAGAGTGCCTTCAGGGCTGCAGGTCCCTCCTGATTGCCCTCCACCTGCCCTGCCCTTCGGACTGGGAGGCTGCCGTGTCTTGTGTGGTGGTGGCACCTGGCTCCCCAATGCAAGGCACCTGCACCCCTGGTCCTCCTCATTCCAACCCTGTTGGCCGCCCACCTGCTCCTGGTCCTGGCACCTGCAGGAGGGGAGCTTGCGGCCTCAGTGTACACACCCATAGGACTCAGGATTCAGGGCTGAGTGTGTCTTCAAGGTCTTAGGTTCCCGGGCAGGAAGAGAGGCTGCACAGTCCCAGGACCCCACGACCTCAGACCTCACGACCTCAGAGGGCACAAGAGTGTGAGGCCCTGACATCAGCCCCACAGCCCAGTCCCCTCAGCGGCTCTGCACCTGCAGGAACCTGTGAGAACTAAAGGGCTGTTGAAGGCCTGGCACCCACCCCAGGACCCAAGGGCTCAGGCTGCTCAGGGCCCTGGCCCAGCCTGGGGCCGGGTGATGCCCGCATCCTTCAGGGCTCACTCCAGTGCGCACCTGCCAGTGACCTCATCACCTACAGGATCCTCCTTCCAGCCCCTCCTACTGGCCTCTTCCTTCTAGTTTGTTCTTCCTCTGGACAGTTTTGGGAAAATGTCAGAACCCTGCCTCACACAATGCCCATTTACTGATCATGGCAAACGATGACCCCGGCTTCCTGTGAATGAAAGGATAACTCTTCACCCACAGCCTTGCCTCTTGCTGTCACCTTTAGACACATAACATGCCCGGGTTTGCTGAATCCTCCAGGCTCAGCCACACCACCATGTCCTCACACAGTGGCATTGTGGCCCACCGCCCCTTTCCCAGTTTGAGTTCTCTGGTGATTCTTGAGGTTACAATTTTGACTGAATGACTTCCCACAATCACTACACTGATATGGCTTTTCTCCATAATTCTCTTATGGTTAAGGGGATGGTGACTGGACCCACATGATGTCCCACATTCACTACACTTATAAAGCTTAGCACCAGTGTGCACTCTCTGGTGACTGTTGAGGCTACACTTTTGACTGAATGACCTCCCACAATCACCACACACATAGGGATTTTCACCAGTGTGAGTTCTCTGGTGACTCTCGAGGCCACACTTATGCCTGAGTGACTTCCCACAATCACCACACACATAGGGCTCTTAACCAGTGTGAGTTCTCCGGTTACTGTTGAGGGCACCCTTTTCCCTGAAGGACCTCCCACAATCATCACACACATAGGGCTTTTCACCAGTGTGAGTTCTCCAGTGACTGTTGAGGCCACACTAATGCCTGAATGACTTCCCACAATCACCACAAACATAGGGCTCTTAACCAGTGTGAGTTTTCCAGTTACTGTTGAGGTAACCCTTTTCCCTGAAGGACCTCCCACAATCATCACACACATAGGGCTTTTCACCAGTGTGAGTTCTCCAGTGACTGTTGAGGCCACACTAATGCCTGAATGACTTCCCACAATCACCACACACATAGGGCTTTTCACCAGTGTGGGTTCTCTGTTGACTGTTGAGGTTACCCTTTTCCCTGAATGACTTCCCACAATCACCCCCCACACATAGGGCTTTTCACCAGTGTGAACTCTCTTTTGTTGAGTTAGGGTAGAGCATTCCCTAAAGATCTTCCCACAATCAGTGCACTCATAGGGCTTTTCCCCATTGTGAACTCTCCTTTGTTGAATGAGGGAAGAGCTTTCTCTAAAGAACTTCCCACAATCAGTACACTCATAGAGCTTTTTTCTAGTGTGAACTCTCTTATGCCAATTCAGGTTAAATATATGCGTAGAAACTTTCCCAAATTTGTTACCCTCATTATTCACTTCTTCAGAGCAGACATTCTGAGGTTGAATGACTTTCCCATTGTTTCTGGCAGTGTTTACATGTCCACCCCAATTGTGATGACTTTTTCCACGGACAAATTCCAGTGAAATCTCACTTGCACTGTATGGCTCCCCATTGTTGAGAGTTACCTGGTGCTGGAGAAACCCTGAGATGCCTGGGGAGACTTTCCCAAACTTTCTATTGGTTGAAGGCACCCAAGATCAGAAGCTGCACGTGGTTACAAATGAGGCCCTATCTACAGTTTCTCTCCAGGGCTTCCCTCCACTGGCT